GTCTATTCAACAGCATAATGGTTGACTATTGTGATTCCGAGCATTAGCTTGCATGGGCGGCTCTTGCTTCTGTGCTGCGCTTGCCTGGGGTGGGGCGGCATGTGTGCGGTCACATGCTTTGGCGTTTTCAGTGCCCTCACCTTTACTGGGCCAAACTTTGTATCAAGGATTTGATTGAACAGTAATTTTAAATAAATGCGGCTATGGGATTTTGCCCATAGCCATTTACTCCAATTGTTGATTGGTTATAATTTTTCCCAGTAAACATAGCTCAGGCAAGGCAGCATATTTGGGTTGTTCATATAATTTATAAGGGAGAAAAGGCATAAAGGAAGTTAAGCAGATTTTTTTATTTCATATTCTGTCTCGCAAGGAATCTAATTGTAGAAGCTAAACTAATTCATGTCAAACTTCAAAGTTGTCTGGATGAAGGTGAATTGTTTTGTGCCTACCTGTGAACGTTTTTGGCTTGTTCTCGACGTTTTCATCTGCTTTATTTGTCATCTTCATGCGACTTTCAACAGCTAAAATGCGCAGTTCGTTCATTTCCGTTCGCTTGTTGATCATATCCATTCTCAAGAACAGCGCAACAATCAGTAGTGACGTGGCTAAAGTTTCCTGTTTATCCTATTCTTCTGTCGGGGCTGAGTTACTTGTAAATATGACACGCTTACGATTGGAAGCCGGGAACCTGCCACTTGACCTCAAGTTGAATATAAATGCATAATGTATGTTTCACCTAGAATTATTTATTTTTCCTTTATTTTTTTTTATGTGGACTCAAAAAGAGTTGCTTTATTGACCTTGTTGACATGATAATCGATTAAAAAGGAATGCTCCGTTTTCCGTTGTCTACTGTGACCTGCTTTAATTTCGAAAAGTAAATTTCGAGATATATGATATTGCACATGAAAATATTTCAATCAACGTACAAAAACATCTGAATAATAATTGAAAGTAGAAATAAGTGCGTTTTTGAATAGTCACATAGAGATGCTATTGAATAGTCTGACAGGTTAAAGAGGAAATTAAAAAGTTTCTCTTGTTAGTTGTTAGACTACGAAAACAGGACTGAACCTCCTTGAAAATGAAGTTTGGAAGTGTATATTTTTGTCTTTGTTAATGAAGTTACTACGAGCAAAATGTGGAATGGAGCATTGAAATTCACAATGGAATTTTTTTTTCAATCCTTACCAAAGACCTCATATTCTCAACCTCCCACTGCTTTTACATATGGAGGATCTCGTACCCAGACTTTTCACGACCAAGTGATTGCAAGTTACAGTTACACTGTAAAACTGGGTATGAGGTACTTCATCATCCATACAAGAAGTCAGTATTGAATTCGTCTAAAAGATCACCGCGTGAGTCCATAACACAATACTTACGGCCACTGTTAGCCGTTTATTAGTTCAAGGGTGGTTACTGATGTTTACGATTTTGAGTTTTTGATTAGTTCACAAAACGTTCAGAAAGCGGGAAATCCTCAACTGTCTGGGATTTTTCTTGAAGATGGAAAATCGTGTATTCATATTGCCCCCAGGGAAAGGGGAGGGGGACTTGGGTATCGTAGGTTTGTGCCACTTGCCTCTCCGAAGCCCTACCCATTATAGTTTATTTAATGGCCACTAATAGACCCTTACTCACAAAATTTAACAATTTTTGAAGCACGAATCTTACAGTTTTCAAATCTCTGATTACCAGAATTTTCTTACCCCCAAAATCACGAAAATGCGTCGATCCATCACCTAGTAACTCTATTAAAGATGCAATTTCAATTTAGTGAATCCAGTAGTGAAAATGCGACACCATCCACATCCCAACAAGCATATTACTAGGAAATGCCCCTTCCCCCCACCACTCGTTGATATCCGTTTGCTTCTTGATGACCTCCATACTCAAGTTCAGCGCAACAACCAGTAGAATTGAAATAAAAAAAAATTCCGATGAGCCAATGAGCTCTTTCGAAAAACGTCGACTGTAGACTTTGTGCAAGCTTTCTTTGTAGTGTCTATCGTAGCTTCTCACGAACATTAGGGTCTTCTGGTAAACAATATAAATAGTAAACTTTACAGAGAACTGACTTGCCTTCTTCCGCTGAAGATTTGCACTTCCCATGTGGATGATATGGCTAAAGTTTCTAGTTCATTTTAATCCTAACTTTCAAGGCTGAGTTAATCGTAAACGTGATACGCTTAAAGTTAAGCTAAGTGAACGCTGGAAACCTGCCAGTTGACCTCAAATTCAATGTAATGCCGTAGAATTTTTTTTTTTTAAATTTGTACATTTGGACCCAAAGGAAGTTACTGTCTTGACCTCATTGTCATGATGATCGATTAAAAAGATATGCTGCTTTTTTCGTTGTCTTCTGTGACCTGTATTAATTTCGCGTGATGAAATTTGAGATATTTGATGCTACACAAAGAAAGTGGAACGTACAAAAACATCGGAATAGAGAACGAAGCCAAAAAAGATAAGGCGTTTTTAGTAGTTACATGGAGATGTTGTTCAAGGGCCCAGAAAGGTCAAAGACAAAGCTGATTAGTTTTTCCTTTCTATTTTAAGGCAGACTAGGGAATCTTATGAGTCTAGAACCCAGACTTTTCACGGCCAAGGGGTTGAAAGATAAAGTTAAACTGTAGGATCTGGTTACGAGATAAGAATATTACATCGTCTAGGAAAATAGATAGGGTTTGAGAAGGCCTAGACTTTCGAAAGATTTAGAAACAAGATATGAAACATAAAAAGAAATCAAGGACAAAGAGTGTTTTCTTGCTTGCTCGTTGCTCCCTTCGCTTTGAACTGAACATTTTCAATAGAACTTCTTTATTTAGTTTATTTTACCTTCCTAGAGAAAGCTGTATATCCTAGTTTTTTGACAAATTGTAAACTTTTATAAGTCCATTAGTACATTAGATCCTTAGATAAACAACTCCATAAGCTTTACAGCTTTAACAATTATCGTTTTATAATAAAGGATTTGATTAATTGACTGATCTTGATCCTGGTGTGGCTGAGAATGAAAACAGAACTGAATCAGGTCTCGCAACTAGGTTTTCGGTGGGAATGGAGTTCAATCGTCTTTAACAGAATTTGAAAGAGGCGCTTTAGAAAATTGGCTACCAGCGAGAGGCTAGGAGATCGGTACAGTATTTTATTGTGACACAACAAGATTCCTCCGAAACCTCCCCTTTCTCTCCTCTCCCCCCTTCCTTTCCCTTCCCTTCCCCACCTCCTATCCGGCGATAAAAAAAACCACCGGCTCCTTAGTTATTAGTTTCAGGTCTCCATCTGGTTTGCGGGACCATAGGGTGTCTAATCAATTAATGGCTTCCAATTCCTATTATCTCGATTGAAACATTTAAAATATCTTGCATCTTTTATTTGTAGCATCACTAAACAATTATCAGTGGATACTTCACATTTCCTTAAAAAGATGAGTTGTGAGTCCGACTTAAAATCATTCCATCGGATACGATTTTCTCGAAAAGTTCTTATAGCATTTAAATTGTTGCCGGTGAGGATCTTAAGATGTTAAAAGCTTATAGAGTTCCGGCTGGGGTGATGGTCAAGTTATTTTATCTTTGCTGTGAGAGGAAAAAGAAGCGCTATTACTGACCCGCATTTTAAGATATTAATCAAACTTGGATTACAATGTGACATTAAATGAATAATTTTATCCTCTACAAAGTTCTTCGGATCTAAACTAAGTTTGAAAAATGAAGGGCTGATCATTTTAACGGATCCATAGGTTCAACGAGTTGGGCCGGGATGGGGCGTAATTTGTTTGAGCACCATAACCAAAGTCACATTCAGTCTCATGGGTTCAGAGGTCAACAAAAGAAGCAGCGCCAGCTTCTATGATTCCAATTCCATGATCTGCATCACCTTCATCTGCAACAACCCAGCAATGAAACCATCTTACCAAAAACACAAACGCAAAACTGAAGGGAAGTACTGTGAAAAAGAGGCTTCGCTTTTTAAAATACATCTAAAAAATATCACTGATGGAATAGACAGTGACAGACTTTTCGTACATTCACGCTTTTAGTTAGTTAAAAGACTTGACATCAAGGTCGTGCGTCCCAATTTAACAACCAGAAGAAGGCTACTGCACACATTTGTTTCTGCGACAGAAAGCATTAATATTTAAAGTAAATCAGCATAACAAGTTATTTACTGCACGCCTTAGAATAAATCAGTTATCAAAAATAAAGTCACGTTAGTAAAAAGACAGACTTTTCGTACCCTAACACTTTTAGTTAGTTGACTAAAAGATTTGACATTAAGATTGTGCGCCCTAATTCAACAACCATAAGAGGACTACAGCACACATTTGTTTCTGCGACCCAAAGCATTAACATTTAAAGTGAATCGGCGTTATAAATTATTTACTGCAC